GCTGTGAGTGTGTTCACAGAAAGACATTTCCATGTGTTTCTTCACCACAGACAGTAGGTGTGAGTGCGTATATGTGTCTGGGTTTCACTCAAATGATCATTTTAATTAAACCGCTCTGCCAGACATAGGTGCAGCATTTAATGACATTAAACTTGATTTTTCTTAAGACACTGCTCTAGGCAAAACTTAGCAACATAACCATATACATTCTGCATTGAACCACTTTATTCCTTTATGATATAGATTCATGTGATGAACCCTTATAAGTTTCAACAGCAAGACATTTATTACATATTATTAGCACATTTACGGCAGATTGAAACATCATCAACAGTTACATCTACTCCACCTGGAATATCCAATATCAATCCTTGAAAGTTATTTCAAAACATGAAGACACAGTTCATACAAAAATGAAAAATCATGTCATCATTTACTCATGTCGTTCCAAACCTGTGTGACTTGAGAGTAAGTAAATGATTTTTCTGCAAACTAACCCTTAAATCCAGTTTTCTAGAAGCACAAAACACAAAGCACAACACATCTGAATGTGAATGTTAACAGCAGTGCATCAGGTCTGCTATGTATCCAGTGTAATCACCTCAGTCATTCCTAAGTGGTAAGGCAAGCTCATTGACTCACACGTGCGAGTTTGAGTCCACCACATCGACAGATTCAGGTTCCCACTGTCCTCCCCGCAAGAGTTGGTTGAGTTTTCGGTGGCGCTCCCATGAGATTTGTCTTGATTCTGCAGGTTGAATATTTTTGGGAGGGAGGCCAGAGCCAGCGCCGAGGCCGGGGATGGGCCGCAGAGGCGCAAACGCAAAGCCTTGGCTGAGCGGTGGAGGTCACCAATGAAGCAGTAGCAAAAAGGGTTGAGAGAAGAGTTGGTGAGACCCAACCATTGTGCAAAGGGTCTGGTTTGTAGGAGCCAGTCCGGTGGATGGCGTAACTCACGGTCCAGCCAAATATCAGTCACATACATTGGCAACCATGACAGAGCAAAGAGCAGCACCAAAGCTGCGACCATTCGTGCGATTTGCCTGCGCCCCTGCAGCCTTGTTTCATGAAGTGCCTGGGAACGGGGATCCAACTCTGTGAACCGACCCTCAGAACCATTGCTACGCAGCCGGCGACATGTGAGGAAAGCTAGAGTGAGATTAAACCCAACAGGTAGGCAGTAGAGGGCACTGAACAGCAGGACGTTGTATGCCTGTCGCAAGCGCGGCTGAGGCCACACCTCTCCACAGACAGGCAGCACGATGGCCAGCCCTTCGATCAAAGCTATTTCATCACGCCTGGTTACTATGGCGACTGGCATGCAGATCACCGAGGAGACAAGCCACACGATTGTGACAGAGGCAAGGATGCGTCGACGAGTAAAGTTGGCACGGGACTGTAGCGGCGAGTGAACCGCATAGTAGCGGCTGATGCTGATGACCGTGATGCTCAGGACGCTGGCGGAAACTGACACCGCTTGCGTGAAGGGCACCGCGCGGCACAAGAAGTCCCCGTACACCCATGGTGTATAGATGCGGTGACCCAGGGTGACGGGCATGCAAACACAAACCACTGCCAGGTCACACACCGCTAAGTTTATTAGCAGGCAACGGGTGGCGCTCGCACCTGACAGTCGCATGCTTCCATGCTGGCCCAGTAGGACTTTGAGGGACATGACATTCCCAAAAAACCCCACAAGGAAGGAAATAGAGTACAGGACAGTCAAGATAATGGTGCCAGGCTCTTGGATGGTGAGGAACAGCTGCCATTCTAAAGCTGCATTATCCTGGAAGAAGAAGGTGCTGTTGAAGAAGCTGGCTGGAGCCGACCTGCTCTTGTTTTGTGGTTCACGCTGAAGGTCCAATGCCCTGGGAAGGTCGTAGAGCAGGGTTGGTGGCTGATCTGGGATCAGATTCATAGTGGTTTTCCTGTGATGTTGAGTGAACTATCACTGAACTACATCATAACTAAACTATGTAACTTAAACTACATATTTTTTATTTACTTTTCAGGTGCCAAAGTTTCCATTTATGCATAAAAAAGATTGAAGACAATGAAGGAAAACAGAAGATCTCAAATCCATTGTTCTTTCCTTTGTCGTTTTAAATACTCAAAACAAATTTCTTCCTCATTCAGTACCAAATACAGTATTCACTTTTATCTTCCCAAACAATACAGATGACATCAAAAGCATAGGTGTACCTCCTCTTCATTCTTTTTTTTCTTCCTTCAAACCTTAAGGTAATATGTATCACGTATGACCTGAAAAAATTACAAACACCGTAAATATACACGCACATAGGCTACACATCTATTCACATACCCCTGAAAAGAAAGGAGAAAAGCCACAAATGCTCACAAGTAAAAGCTTTCAAACTCCTTTCATTTATTTATACTTTCAGTGTGTATAAGGGCAGCTGAGATTCCCACATTAAACTGTGCTAATTTACTGCTGTTAGCAATTTAAATGAAGACTGATTTAAAATTAAAGCAATAAACAATAGCTTAATGTTTACCAATTCACCTGTCAAACTGATATGCAGTCATGCTGATGTAGTCATGAATGGTACAATGCAGTGTAATTAAATACAGAGTACAATACAGTGATTCATTAAAACTCGAATTTTTATTTTACTTTATCTAATTTTTTTGTTTTGTATATAAAATATAATATGCTGACGAAGGTAAATCCTAGTGAAAATGTAAGATTTATTTAAAAGCATTTATGATTCATAAGGAGCTTATTAAAACACTAAACCCTCGATTAAAATCTTAATGCTATCAATAATAATAATTTAATATATTCTAAAACTACGACACATTCAGCAGTCTACACAGTATACAGCTAATTGCGTACAGTTGAATTTGAAATTGGTACTTACTTTGATCAAACACTGTATCTTCCTTTCTACACGACCACCAGCAAAAAAAAAAAAAAAAACAAAAAACAAACAAAAACAAAAAAATATATATATATATATATGTTTTTTAAAGAAGTATCGTTTGCTCACCAAGGCTGCATTTATTTGATATAAAATACAGTATACTGAAATATTGTGAAATATTAATACCATTTAAAATAACTGATTTGTATTTAAATAAATTATAAAATGTAATGTATTCTTTTAATGGTAAAGCTGAATTTTCAACATCATTACTCCTGTCTTCAGTATCACATGATCCTTCAGAAATCATTCTAATGTGCTGATTTGGTACTCAATAAACATTTCTTATTATCAATGTTGAAAACAGTTGTGCTGCTTAATATTTTTGTGGAAACTGTGATACATTTTATTTCAGGATTCTTTGATGAATAGAAAGTTCAAAAGAGCAGGATTTATTTAAAACTAAATGTTTTAGTAACAATGCAAGAATTTTTGTCACATTTGATCAGTTTAATGCATCCTTGCTTAATAAAATTATCAGTTTCTTTCCTAATTTTATTTTTTAAATCTTACTGACCTCAAACTTTTGAACAGTAGTGTAGTTTAGAATCTGTCTTCAGAAAGATAACAGTGAGAAGAGGGTGATGACTTGAGATGCAGATGGTTTCCACATTTAGAAGAGGAGGTGAGAAGCTGTGAGTGTGTTCACAGAAAGACATTTCCATGTGTTTCTTCACCACAGACAGTAGGTGTGAGTGCGTATATGTGTCTGGGTTTCACTCAAATGATCATTTTAATTAAACCGCTCTGCCAGACATAGGTGCAGCATTTAATGACATTAAACTTGATTTTTCTTAAGACACTGCTCTAGGCAAAACTTAGCAACATAACCATATACATTCTGCATTGAACCACTTTATTCCTTTATGATATAGATTCATGTGATGAACCCTTATAAGTTTCAACAGCAAGACATTTATTACATATTATTAGCACATTTACGGCAGATTGAAACATCATCAACAGTTACATCTACTCCACCTGGAATATCCAATATCAATCCTTGAAAGTTATTTCAAAACATGAAGACACAGTTCATACAAAAATGAAAAATCATGTCATCATTTACTCATGTCGTTCCAAACCTGTGTGACTTGATGTGCTGATTTGGTACTCAATAAACATTTCTTATTATCAATGTTGAAAACAGTTGTGCTGCTTAATATTTTTGTGGAAACTGTGATACATTTTATTTCAGGATTCTTTGATGAATAGAAAGTTCAAAAGAGCAGGATTTATTTAAAACTAAATGTTTTAGTAACAATGCAAGAATTTTTGTCACATTTGATCAGTTTAATGCATCCTTGCTTAATAAAATTATCAGTTTCTTTCCTAATTTTATTTTTTAAATCTTACTGACCTCAAACTTTTGAACAGTAGTGTAGTTTAGAATCTGTCTTCAGAAAGATAACAGTGAGAAGAGGGTGATGACTTGAGATGCAGATGGTTTCCACATTTAGAAGAGGAGGTGAGAAGCTGTGAGTGTGTTCACAGAAAGACATTTCCATGTGTTTCTTCACCACAGACAGTAGGTGTGAGTGCGTATATGTGTCTGGGTTTCACTCAAATGATCATTTTAATTAAACCGCTCTGCCAGACATAGGTGCAGCATTTAATGACATTAAACTTGATTTTTCTTAAGACACTGCTCTAGGCAAAACTTAGCAACATAACCATATACATTCTGCATTGAACCACTTTATTCCTTTATGATATAGATTCATGTGATGAACCCTTATAAGTTTCAACAGCAAGACATTTATTACATATTATTAGCACATTTACGGCAGATTGAAACATCATCAACAGTTACATCTACTCCACCTGGAATATCCAATATCAATCCTTGAAAGTTATTTCAAAACATGAAGACACAGTTCATACAAAAATGAAAAATCATGTCATCATTTACTCATGTCGTTCCAAACCTGTGTGACTTGAGAGTAAGTAAATGATTTTTCTGCAAACTAACCCTTAAATCCAGTTTTCTAGAAGCACAAAACACAAAGCACAACACATCTGAATGTGAATGTTAACAGCAGTGCATCAGGTCTGCTATGTATCCAGTGTAATCACCTCAGTCATTCCTAAGTGGTAAGGCAAGCTCATTGACTCACACGTGCGAGTTTGAGTCCACCACATCGACAGATTCAGGTTCCCACTGTCCTCCCCGCAAGAGTTGGTTGAGTTTTCGGTGGCGCTCCCATGAGATTTGTCTTGATTCTGCAGGTTGAATATTTTTGGGAGGGAGGCCAGAGCCAGCGCCGAGGCCGGGGATGGGCCGCAGAGGCGCAAACGCAAAGCCTTGGCTGAGCGGTGGAGGTCACCAATGAAGCAGTAGCAAAAAGGGTTGAGAGAAGAGTTGGTGAGACCCAACCATTGTGCAAAGGGTCTGGTTTGTAGGAGCCAGTCCGGTGGATGGCGTAACTCACGGTCCAGCCAAATATCAGTCACATACATTGGCAACCATGACAGAGCAAAGAGCAGCACCAAAGCTGCGACCATTCGTGCGATTTGCCTGCGCCCCTGCAGCCTTGTTTCATGAAGTGCCTGGGAACGGGGATCCAACTCTGTGAACCGACCCTCAGAACCATTGCTACGCAGCCGGCGACATGTGAGGAAAGCTAGAGTGAGATTAAACCCAACAGGTAGGCAGTAGAGGGCACTGAACAGCAGGACGTTGTATGCCTGTCGCAAGCGCGGCTGAGGCCACACCTCTCCACAGACAGGCAGCACGATGGCCAGCCCTTCGATCAAAGCTATTTCATCACGCCTGGTTACTATGGCGACTGGCATGCAGATCACCGAGGAGACAAGCCACACGATTGTGACAGAGGCAAGGATGCGTCGACGAGTAAAGTTGGCACGGGACTGTAGCGGCGAGTGAACCGCATAGTAGCGGCTGATGCTGATGACCGTGATGCTCAGGACGCTGGCGGAAACTGACACCGCTTGCGTGAAGGGCACCGCGCGGCACAAGAAGTCCCCGTACACCCATGGTGTATAGATGCGGTGACCCAGGGTGACGGGCATGCAAACACAAACCACTGCCAGGTCACACACCGCTAAGTTTATTAGCAGGCAACGGGTGGCGCTCGCACCTGACAGTCGCATGCTTCCATGCTGGCCCAGTAGGACTTTGAGGGACATGACATTCCCAAAAAACCCCACAAGGAAGGAAATAGAGTACAGGACAGTCAAGATAATGGTGCCAGGTTCTTGGATGGTGAGGAACAGCTGCCATTCTAAAGCCGCATTATCCTGGAAGAAGAAGGTGCTGTTGAAGAAGCTGGCTGGAGCCGACCTGCTCTTGTTTTGAGGTTCACGCTGAAGGTCCAGTGCCCTTGGAAAGTCATAGAGATGGGTTGGTGGCTGATCTGGGGTCAGATTCATAGTGGTTTTCACGTGACTGAACTACATCATAACTGAACTGCATAACTAAAATTACATCGTTTTAATTTACTTTTCAGGTACCAAAGTTTCCAGTCATGCACAAAAATGCTTGAAGACCATGAAGGAAAACAAGATCTCAAATCCATTGTTCTTTCCTTCGTCGTTTCACTTATTACTCAAAACCAATGCACCTCTTCTTCCACACAGTATCAAATACAGAATTCACTTTTATCTTCCCAGACAATAAGGATGACATCAAAAGCATAGAAGACCCTCTTCTTTATCTAATATGTGTACCTCCTCTTCCTTCTTTTGTTTTCTTCATTCACGCCTTATGGTAATCTATCACGTATGACCTGAAAAAATTAATATAAAAACACACATAAATATATACGCACATAGGCTACACATCTATTCACATACTCCTGAAAAGAAAGGAGAATGCTCACAAGTAAAAGCTTTCAAAATCCTTTCATTTATTTATACTTTCAGTGTGTATAAGGGCAGCTGAGATTCCCACATTAAATTGCAGTGCTCGTTTACTGCTGTGAGCACTTTAAATTAAGATTGAAAGGTTTTTACGTTGTAAATGTCCAAATCGCCAAACAATAGCTTAATGTTCACCAATTCGCCTGCCAAACTGATATGCAGTCATGTTGATGTAGTCATGAAAGGTACTGATTCATTCAAAATCTTGCATTTTTATTTTATGTATATAAAAATATAATATTGTATGATAATATGCATGCTGACGAAGGTAAATCCCAGTGAGAATTTAAGATTTACATAAAGCAGAAGTATAGTGATTCATAATCAGCTTATTAAAACACTAAACTCTTTATTAAAATGTTAATGCTATGAATAATAAATTTATCTAAATATAAATTTTAAAACAACGACATATTCATCAGTCAACACAGATCATTTTAAGCACAGATTAATTTGAAATGGGTAGCCTACTTACTTATTATCAAATATTGTATCTTCCAGTGGGTCAAAAGTGAACATAAATCCTCCAGGTAAAGATCAACGTAAATTTTTCAGCAGATTTCCGTTAAATCCAGCGCTGTGATGCGTCAGTTACCTGTGTTCACGACCTCTGGTAAAGGAGATGAGTTATCGGTTGAGCTTCACTTTGTGTTTTACTATGTTCGATCGCTGCGCACATGCGCCCCCTCGCGGCTACATGAAGTCACTGAGACAGCCGCCGGTCACCAGCTGTGCATTCCTCCTGCAACCTGCTGACTCTCATTAATAAATACATCCGTCTGGACACAGTGGACATAGCATATTTTAAATTCAGTAGTGCTTTAAATTCCATTTAAATTATGTATTTTTTCTCCATTATAAGAAACGATTGTCATAAAAATAATGTAACGTTGCAATAGGTTATGTATGGTTCAAAAAGAAGGCTTAATTTGCTCTATGCAATAATCACTGACACTGAGGAAAAAATAGCTCACATTTACTGTAGATCTGCACCCGTGCACCGTTGTTCACCTGTTAATCTCTTAGTTGATCTGTTAACTTCACTCTCTTATTCTGCACGACAGTGTTTCTTTCTCCTGTCAGCACATTTCATATTTCTTCTTCTGAATTCATTATACTGAAGTGTTTCCATTTTCTGGTGCACCATCTGTGAAGAGTTTCACGCTTGCTGTATAATTTCTCTGGGGCACTATTCGTCTAACCCATGTGATACACATGCAATTGCAATACACAGCGCTGGAACATATTTTAATTTAAACAAACAAGACTCAAATAAAGTCCTTGAAGACTAAGAAAAGTTCAAGTGACTTTTATGGCACTTGGTATGTGAACACAAAAAAAATTGAGGGCATGATTCGAAAAAGCTAAGTGGTCGTTAAAAAAATAGTCACACTCATGGTCTTCGGTCAAAAATGACCGACCATAGGAAATTAATGGGAAATGGGGAAAAACTTGAAAATACAGAATTTTTTCAATCTACAAATCCCCCACAATGCAGAAAAAATTTGCACAGCAATTAAGGAGTGAAACTCTAAAACATCTAGAGTGCAAAATCAACACACCCACTCACAC